GCGAAGTGAACAGTCGATAAAACTGATTTGGATAGGCGCCAAAGAACGGCATCATTCCGCAGACACCCGCGAAACAGTTCACCTGACTGCACAACGTCGCATTCTCATGCCAATGACCTCGAACGAAATCGCAGTACTGTTTGGTGGCAATACGACAGAGTCCTTGAAGCTGGATGCAGCACGGTTGACGTGTATTCCGAAATTCCAAAATTTCTCAATCGGAATATTCTGAAAATTTCAAAATTCCATAAATTCCAAAGTTCCCCGAACTCCGAAATTCCAAAATTTTCAAAATCGGAATATTTCGGAATTTTCCGAAATTCCAGAATTCTAAAACCGGAAACTTTTGAAATTCCAAAAAAATCCAAAATGGCCATTCCGAGGACAACTGAGCTACAATTTGAAAATTTCGAGAAATATCAGATTCCTATGAGTTGATTCCTTTCAGTTCTACGTGCTCATCTCCTTCATCGTCCTGTGCCTTCTACTATTCTTCCTCATCGTCATCTTCTTTGGAAACGTCCAATTCGACTGCCCCCTATGCATCTATTTCAACTGTCTCCCAGTGTTCGATTGCCATAATCAAGGGCAAAAGTTGAAGAAGTGGCTGCCGATTTAGAATTTTTAATATGTATATTTACACTCTTTATCCCCCTTTAAGTTCATTCAGACCTCGAATAATTTTACTTTAAATCCACCCAACGAATACTTTAAAAATTGCTCAAATCCCCCAAAATCTCTTTGTGATATCTTTCTTATGTGATAACAAACTTTGTTATGTTTTATCCCGATTCTTTGATTTTCCTGATTTTTTTTGTATTTCCAGTGTGCCAAAGATTAATAAGTTTTTCAGATTCCATTTTTCGACTTATTCTAGGCAACTTTGAGCTCAATTTCTCGGTTCCTTTAAAATATATCGAAAACTTTTCAACTGATAAAATATTTATCACAATATGAGAAATATCTTATCAGTTGACAAATTTTTGATATCTTTTAAAGGAGCCGAGATAATTGAGCTCAAAATTATAGATAGCACATATAGCTTTTATTAACAAAAATTTTACAATCATAATTTTGAATTCAATTATCAAAAAGTCAATGTTTAACATAGAATCATTATTGATAAGAAAAATTAGGATTCTCGAAATTCGGGCAATTCCAGAAGTTCGAAAATCCAACTGGTGAGAATGCATACGGAGACATCACATAGTTGTTGTAACCGTTTTGATGATTATGAGAGACCCCAGAAGACGTGGATTCAAATGATTCAGATGAAAATGATGAGGTGGCTTCTTCCAACGGGGAAACTCTTGCTCTTTTACTGGATTCATGATAAGAGTCATCCGATGTTTGCTCAGCATTATTCTTCAACATTCCAAACTTCTTCAACGCATCGATCGCCTCTTTTTTAACACTGTATCGAACGAATTTATTGGAAATCGTCTTGACGGTGGAGATATCCGGATTCTGAAAATGAGGCAATTGATTGCTCATTGCTAATTGAATGGAAGGCCACCTCCAAACCGCCAACTTTGAGCCCGTATATCTCGCTTCCTGTAAGAGACATCGAAAAGTGGTAGTTGTTAAAACGTTGCTGATATTGTGATAAACAATTTATCAGTTGACAGATTTTTGATATATTTTGCAGGAAGCGAGATATAGGCGTCCAAAGTTTAAAGATAAGGTGGTCCTCCAATTAGAGTGTCAAATTTGAGCCCATATGTCTCTCTTCCTGTAACATATATCAAAAAGTAGTCAACTAATAAAATGTTGCTGATAATATGACAAACATTTAACCAGTTGACAGATTTTTGATATCTTTGACAGGAAGCAAGATATATGAGCTCAAAACTACGGTTCTCTTAAAATTGTTGCAATATTCATCGGTAGGTAGAGTCGCCAACAGGCCGCCACTGATCCGTCCAGATTTTGAGCTGATATATCTCGCTTCCTGTAAAAGATATCAACAAATTGCCGACTGTTAAAATGTTGTTGAGATTATGACAAACATTTTATCAGTTGATAAATTTTTGATATATTTTGCAGGAAGCGAGATATAGGGGTCCCAAGTTTAAGGTTAAGGTGGTCCTCCTATAAAAGTGTCAAATTTGAGTCCATGTATCTCACTTCCCGTACGAGATGTCAAAAAGTGGTCAACTAATAAAATGTTGCTGATCATATGATAAACAATTTATCAGTTGACAAGTTTTTAATATCTTTCATAAGAAGCGAGATATACGGGCTCAATGTTTTTGTAGTATTGCCGGTACCTTGTACTCCGTAACAGTAATGAATTTAGTCTCGTCGAACTGAAAAGCGCGTATGAAGAAATCTCCCCAAGATGTTGATTCATAAATTGTGAGGATCGGAATATACTTGTTGTTGGTGAGGACTCTCATCTGGAAAAGGAAACAACTGGAATTTTTATGAAATTCCAGATCAAAAAAAAAATCTCACCGCCAGTTTCTTGTCCACCTTTTCCGGTGTCGTTTTCTCTTTGCCACTTTTAGTGGCTTTGTTATAAATTTTCGCCAATCCAAAATCAATTCCATACTTCATCAAATCCCCTCCAGACCAGTCGTTTTTCGGATCTCTTGGCTTCAGGAAGATCTCATTTGATTCCATTTCTGTCACATCTTCAACACTATAGTCTTTTTTCCATCCCCAGTTCACATGGTATCGATATGGCTTCAAGTCGCAAAGTCTCATTTTCAGACCTACAGTATACTTTTTGAGAGGTTCGAGATTTTTGATTTTGAATTGAAGACGTGGGAACAGCGATCTGAAAAAATAGTGATTTTCCAGACTTCAGTGAAACAAACTAACCTTCCACAAACTCGAATCGCCATCTCGTTACCTCCTTGAAGTGCATCTAGTCGTTTCCAGGTATCTCTGTCCAACAGCTCAACTTCGATATCTGGTTGCATTTCAGGTTGCGGCTCCAGGAAAGCATCAGAAGTTGGTGGTTTGGCTAGAGACACAATGCTGGGTCCTTGACAAGAGTCTGAAAATTAAAATTGATAATAATTCGGATAGCTTTCAACGGATTTAGCTTAAAATAGCTTTGAACAACCTCCAAGATAGCTTTCAAGCTTTCAAGTTTTATTGATAGCCTTGAGAGACTATGGGACATCATCGGACAGCTTAGGTTTGCCCTTCAAAAGCCCAATACTCGGGTGTCGCCTTTTGGAAGCTAATCAGATTTCTGATAAGACCGCTATCAAAGCCAAGTAAACTGCGACAAACTTATGGCAGGGCTCCGACCAAAATCGGACCATTGCCCGCTATACAGCCGTTTTTGGGCAAGTTCAAACCAGGACTTAACCAATATCCATCCAAAAGCCGAGCCCCTCTTTAATTCTAGCCAGAAATTACAGCCAAGTACAGCTTTAGAGGACTTTAGGCATCCTAAATCCTTATCAGACAGCGTAAGTCAGTATCCGTTAGCTTCAGACGACTTCAGATTAAGTTGAAAACCAGTGTCATTCAATTTCTTCAGACAGTCTTTTACAGCGTCATGCCTTCCCATTCCGTCGAAATGCTCCTTTTGATATTTCAGCCTTACCATCTTTTGGTTCCTCCACCTCCAGATGGTCCATAACCTCTGCACTCGCTTCTTTTTGAACATTGCCTCGAACGAATTGATTGGAAATCGACTTCACGGTGGCAATATTCGAATTCTGAAATCATCATCAACTGATTGCTCATCCCTAGTTGGCTAGCCTACCTTGTACTCCGTAACAGCAATAAACTTTGTCTCCTCAAACTGAAAAGTGCTTATGAAGAAATCTCCCCAAGGTGTTGATTCATAAATTGTGAGGATTGGAATATACTTGCAGTTGGGGAAGACTTTCATCTGGAAAAGGAAACAACTGGAATTTTTATGAAATTCCAGAACAAATCTCACCGCCATTTGCTCTTTCTCTGGTGCCGTCTGTTCCTTATCACTTCTTGCCAGCTTATTGAAAACTTTTGCCCCTTGAAAATCGATTCCTCTCTTCATCAGCTCCTCTCCAGACCATGCTCTTCCAGAAGTACTGGTCTCCAGGAATATCTCCTCTGATTCTATTTCTGTCACATTTTCAGCTCTATAGTCTTCTTTCCATCCCGTGCTCACATGATATCGATATGGTTTCAAGTTGCATAGTCTCATTTTCAGTCCTACAGTATACTTTTTGGAAGGAGTGAGATTTTTTATTTTGTAGTGAAGACCTGGGATCAACGATCTGCAAAACAATATTCTTCAAACTTGGATGATTTTGAAAATGCTCACCTTCCAACAACTCCAACCAATATCTCATTATCTGTCTCGTGTAGCCTTTTCCATTTCTCTTCATCCAATAGCTCGACTTCGATTTCAGTTGATTTCGATTCAGACATTGGGACTTGTGATGACGATCTGAAGACTACAAAAATCAATAAATACGGGAAGACACGACATAAATTCGGATAGAAATCAGAAAAAAAGCTCGAAAAAATCCTCAAAAATAATGGTAAGTAAAAGCGTTTAAAAGCGTTCTAAATAGATCAAGTTTTCAGTAGATCAAATTTAGAGAAAAAATAAGCAAGTCTAAGAATTCTATTTATAGCGAATCCTTCAAAATGTTTTAGGGATAGGTAGATCAAATGTATTCTGAAGTTCCGCTAGATTTTTACGTTTCAGGCTCCGCCCATTTTTGCAACTATGCCGCATGATTTATTGGGATGGTAGTTGCACGAGAAGGGTCGATATATTCTACTGTCTGCCCACAAAATTCTAAGCTTCTAGGACCACTAGGAGCTGAGATGTGAATGTGGCCGAGTTCGGCATTTCTAGGCCACCAACTGCAAAGCGCTGTAATCCGGCTCACAATGTCAGCGAGATTTGAACCATAGTTTCTATCAAACGTGATCTATAGAAAAATCCGAAATTCGTGACCTAGAAATTCTAGATTTCGATTTCTAGGCCAACAAATCCAAATGACTGTAACTTGGTTCAAAACTAATACTTTTCGAATATGAAAAGAGCCAAGTTTCTGGTTCGTGAAGGGCTTTCAATTCATGACCCTTTAAATTCAGGAATTACTGTAGATCGGATGTAGATCTGATGCTCGGACGTGGATCTATTAACCTTAAGTCAATTTTTCTGAATTTCTGTAAATGATATAAAAAAGTTGTCAACTGATAAAATGCTTATCATAATATCAGCAGTTTTTTGTCAGTTGACATATTTTTGCTATTCTGCATATTAGCCAACAAAAGTTAGCTCAAACTTGACAGTATGGGGTTTTACCGTAAGATTTTGGAAAAAATTGGGCGGAGCCAGGATTTTTATATTTTAGATCCAGTTTTGTTTTCCAAGAACGCAACGAACTTTCTCATCACAAAGAAAAACGACGTAACACTCTGACGCCTCTGATAAAACAGATCAACACATCTTATCAAAGAAAATCAGTTCAAGAAATTCTGTCAAATCATGGGAGAGGTCCATCCTTCCTGTTACTGTATCCTTTGTTTTGTAATCCCGGTAACATAAAAAATCATGAATAATTGGATTTTTTCAAATTCCAGCCAATCGCTGTCTATCTGAAAAAGGGGAATCGCTGTTGTGGAGCCGTCTGGTGCAATTTGGCTCTTTGCTATTTGCTCTACATTCCTGATGTCATTCATGCCATCGTCATTTGCTACTGTAGAGGATAGAGAACTTTTAATTTTTTAATTTTTTAAAAATTTAATACAGTATGATAAAGTCGTTTTACAGTATAATTGTGAAGTGCGTAAAAATCCAGTAAAAATTCAGTAAAAATCCAATTCCTGTTCGAAATCCCTACATTTGAAAAAAATCAATAGCTTCTGTGTAACCCAATTTTACACGTCTTCAGAATTTTCCTTGTTTTGACAATTTCCACGTGCCCCTTGAATTCTGATAACAATCTTTAGATGACCTTCACTGATAGGAGGATTTCGAAAAATGTCGATGGGGGACCGAAAATCCAAAAATCAAATTATTGTACAATTTGCTCGTCACATCCAAGAGGAAGGTCTCTCTGGACTTGCGAAGACGCCTACCAAAGGTAAGGAATGGCGCCGTTGAGCCGACGGTGAGCCGACGGTGAGCCGACGGTGAGCCGACGGTGAGCCGACGGTAAGCCGACGGTAAGCCGACGGTGAGCCGTTTGTGGTCGGCGGCGGTCGGCGGCGGTGGGCAATGTTGTCCCAATCATAGCGGTTATTGGGCAGTCATTAGAGATTAGCTTCATTTTCGAAAGATCCGCTGATTTCGATATCCCGCATTCCAGTTCCCCATATACCTAAAAGCTTTAATAGAAGACCAACTTTGAACCCATCTATCTCGCTACCTGTCAAAGATATAGAAAAGTTGTCTACTGACGAAATGTTTACCATAATCTCAGCAACATTTTATTAGTTGACCACTTTTTGATATCTTTTTCAAAAACCAAGTTAAACGGGCTCAGAGTTTATGGCTTACGGTAACATTCACTTTCATTTTTCAGAAAGGAGGAACAGAAATGACAGCGACAATGGATGTCGATAACTTGATGAGCCGTCTGCTCAACGTTGGCATGTCAGGTGGACGACTGACCACTTCGGTCAACGAACAGGAACTGATGACTTGCTGTGACATCACCAAATCGGTGTTCGCCTCGCAAGCTTCTCTTTTGGAAGTGGAACCGCCGATTATCGTGTGCGGTGACATTCATGGACAGTACTCGGACTTGTTGCGTATCTTTGACAAGAATGGATTCCCGCCAGATGTGAATTTCTTGTTTTTGGGAGACTATGTGGATCGAGGACGTCAGAATATTGAGACGATTTGTCTCATGTTTTCTTTCAAGATCAAGTTAGTCTGAAAATTGGAAATTGTTATCGTTTCTGATAATCAAAAAATTGAATTCTTGAAATTCAGGAAAATCTGAAATCATAAAAAAATAAAATTGAGAAATTGTGAAACTGAGGATAAAAAAAATCTGAAATTATGATATTCAGGCATTCGGAAGTTTTGAATCTGAGAAAATTGAAAATTGAAAAATTGAGGAACTGGAATTAAGAAATATTGAAAATCAAAATTTCAAGATTTTTGAAAATCAGTAATTCGGAATCCAAAAAATGAAAATTTGAGAAATTTTGAAGTTCAGAATTAAGAAATTCAGGAATTCAGAAGTTCTAAAGTTCTGAAGTTTTGAAGCTCTGAAATTCTGAAATACATATATTCTGAAGTTCTGAATTTCTGAACTTGTGAAATTCTGAAATTCCGAACTTGTGAAATTCTGAAATTCTGAAGGGATCCTGGGATTCTGAGATTCTGAGATTCTGAGATTGTGATTTTTATGATCATTTTATTATGATCAGACGAACGATAGCCTTAAATTAACTGAAATGGCTGTTTCCAGGTACCCCGAAAACTTTTTCATGCTCCGCGGAAACCATGAAGTCCAGCTATCAATCGTGTCTACGGATTCTACGAAGAATGCAATCGTCGCTACAAGTCAACACGTCTCTGGTCAACCTTCCAAGACACTTTCAACTGGATGCCTCTTTGCGGTCTCATTGGATCCCGTATCCTCTGCATGCACGGTGGCCTTTCCCCTCATCTCCAATCCCTCGATCAACTCCGCCAACTTCCACGTCCCCAGGATCCACCAAATCCATCTATTGGTATCGATTTGTTGTGGGCTGATCCGGATCAATGGGTGAAGGGATGGCAAGCGAATACACGCGGAGTGTCTTATGTCTTTGGACAAGACGTTGTCAATGATTTGTGTGCGAAACTCGAGTTGGATCTGGTGGCACGTGCTCATCAAGTCGTGCAGGATGGCTATGAGTTCTTTGCGTCGAAGAGAATGGTTACTATCTTCTCGGCACCTCACTATTGTGGACAGTTTGATAATTCGGCTGCCACGATGAAGGTAAGAATGGGTGATCTGCTAGATTCTGGTAGTAAGTACATTTTTGAGTTTCTAAAACCGTGTGAATTAATCTAAACTTGAACAAACCGATAATTGAAATAGCCTAAATGAAGTAATCAAAATCCGGCCTAAGATTCATTTCAAAACTAACTAGAATGGATTATGTACGACCAGGAAGCTGGTGCGCCTTCGGCGCAATAGTTTTTTACTCCTCACTTTTTCTTAAAGGGCCACGTAAATATATATTTATTTTTCAAGCTTTTCAAAAGTCGACAGACTGACATGGGGATCAACAGACGCCTGTAGCGTTTTATATATAAAGAAGATAGTAAAAATTCAAAGTTTGAAATATCGTGAATTGTTTGATCTATTCCGTGAAATTTAATGAAATTTTCGATTTTTGGAATTTCAGAAAATATCAGGCGACTTTCATGTGAACTGTTTTAACGTTACCATAAACTGGGTCGTATCAGACTGGAAAATATTGTTGGGTTTTTTTCCAAACTTTTTGTACATTCTGTATTTCTGTGATTTCCTTTTTTTAATTCTGAAATTTCATGGATTCTAGAATTACTTGGATTCTGGGATTCACGGAAAATTCGAAAACTTTTTGAAATTGTTTTGATACTTCAAAGTTTGTTTTTGCCAATTTTCTGATATCATCTGAAAATAGTTTATGGTAACGTAAAAACATAATGTTTCTGGAGTCTCTAAAATCCGAAATTTAATTGTCCGTGATTTTATCATTTTTTAAGTGGCAGGACCACTCAAAAAACCATTTCCTGTCCAAATTCCAACAGCGTGAACTTTCATTTTTAATCTATTCTTTTAACAAGTGGCCGGAGAAAACCCATTCCTCGTAACCCTTTAAAAATGTATTTAAATGATTTTCTTTCAGGTTGACGAGAATATGGTGTGTACATTTGTGATGTACAAACCAACTCCGAAAGCTCTTCGTCGAGGATAAAAAGACGAAAAAAGAGTAAAACCCATCAATTGTCAAAATGAATAGGTAAACGGATGGATATGGATGTGTGAACTTTATTGTTTTTTTCATTAAAGAAATGAAGGTTGAATGTATGATTTTTAGTGTTCTTTTTGTGCCACGATGTCTTTTTGAATTAAGCGTTTTCGAAATTTTAAAAAAATATAAAAAATAAGAAAATGCCAATTACTGTGAAATATGTAATAGAAGGACCCCAACATTGTCAAGTTTGAGCTTATTTATCTCGGCTCCTATTAAAGATACCAAAGTATGTCAATTGACAAAACGTTTGTGATATTATGATGAACAATTTATCTGTTGACAGCTTTTTGATATTTTTGACAAGAACCGAGATAAATTGGCTCAAATTCAAAGGTTAGAGGGCCCTTTTATTACAGGTTTCATGATACTTTATTTGCATAGTGGTCAAAAATCAAGACACACAAAAATTTAAAAAAAAAACGTGGGAGTATCATTTGATGATTTTCGTTCTGCTGCTTTTTTATCAATCAAATAACCAGGATTATCAGTTCAGAGATGCGGTTCACAAAAATTATTGGCTACAAAGTTCACCACTTTTTTTCACGATTCTCATTTTTTTAGATTCAAATTTTGGGCTGAAAACTATTTGGGGCCTACTTCTAACCCTGATCATTAATTAGGCTCAATCTTACGGACCTCTTCTTCGTTTTCTATGAATCAATAAAAAAGTTTCATCACACACACCACCTTTGATTTCTCTTATCATCATCATTTCCGTTGATTGACTGATAAAATGACCATGCACCGAGAAAAAACGATGATTGCAGCGGAGGATTAGAGAATCGAGAAATATATAAAATGACACAATTTTCGCAAATTCATATTCATTTTTGGCAGAAAAAAAACCGAAAAAATGTATCGACTATTTGTTCTTTTTTTATTTTTTGGCATAGTTTTCGCTACAAACAAAGTGGAACAAGTTCATTTGAGCTTGAATGGAAATATGGATGAGATGGTGGTGACGTGGCTGACTCAGGGACCATGTGAGTTCTGATATACCGGAAAACCTGTAATAGAAGGGTATAATATTAAGTTTGAGCTTAATTATCTCAACTTCTCTAAGAGATATCAAAATGTGTCAACTGACAAAAAATGTCTGATATTATGATAAGCATTTTGTTAGTTGACAACTATTCTGTATCCTTGACAAGAGATGGATCAGAATTCAAAGTTTCAGGACCCTTCGATTTCAGGTTTTACGGTACTTCTCAGCTGTCGGCGCCAATACTTGCACAAGTCTGACTTGTGCAACACTTGTGGGAGGCTTGGACATGTCTTGTATTTTGTTGTTTCTGTTGTTTTTGCAACGACGCAAGACGTCAAGCCTCCCACAAGTGTAGGATAAGCCTACCACAAGTATTGCACAAGTCTCCCACAAGTCCTAACTAATACATAGAATAATGTGCTCAGAGACTTGTGTAAGTATTTATTGCAAAAAGCCAATTACAGTACCCAATGTGACCCCCTACGTGAGCTTCGGTCTCTCAAAAGACGCTCTTCGGTGGACGGCCAAAGCAACAACGACTTCTTGGAAAGATCAGGGATCCCATGGATATGTTCGTTACACCCATCGAGCAACAATGACAAAAATGGTGCCCGGGGATCAGTATTGTGAGTTGGCAAAGTCTGATTTTATACTTCTAGAAATGTACCCACTGGCAGGCCGAGGTCCACAGGACTCCACATTACATAGTTTCTAACTTTTTCTGCTTCATTCTTTAGATTTCAGCAGGAAATTCAGTTTTTTCTCAATTTTAACTTCTTGCGATTCATCAAGAAATTTTCAGACTACAAAGTAGGGAGCTCCCAAGACATGTCCGACGTTTACCACTTCAAGCAACCCGACCCTACCAAAGATCTTCGAGCAGCCATATTTGGCGACCTTAGCGTCTATAAAGGAATTCCAACCATCAACCAACTGACTGACGCAACGCATGACGGCCACTTTGATGTGATTATTCATATTGGTGACATTGCATATGATCTACACGATGACGAGGGAGATAGAGGAGATGCTTATATGAAAGCAATTCAGCCATTTGCTGCTTATGTTCCGTATATGGTAAGGGTGGTTTCGAGAATATGTATTATGGGAATCGTACAACTAAAAATGAGAAATAGAACCCGTGTCCTTTTATTTAGGTGAAACAGAAAGCATAAAAAAAGTTTCAAAATGAATTTAAACATAACTAGGATCCGCCCCTTCCGGATCTACAGTAACCCCCCGATATCTTAAAAGTCTTATTTATATATTTCTCGTGTTATGGGCTTCAAAACAAGCCTTAACACGACTAGGCTTCGTCCATTTTAAAATGTTTCCTTAAAGGTGCATAGGGGCCAAACTTTTTCAAAGTGTGCGGAGCCTAGTCGCGTTCATACTCATTTTGAAGCCCGAATGATGAGAAGTTGATATATCCCAATTTCGTTGAGTTCGAAGTAAAACTGACTGGGTTACGGTAGTGTGGGATTACTGTAAGTAGAAAACTTGGAACGTTTTAAAGTTGGCGAAGTCTAACGGATAAATTTTATATATCGTTTTAGGTCTTGCCTGGAAACCACGAGTCGGACAGCAACTTCAATCAGATAATCAATCGATTCACCATGCCCAAAAACGGCGTATACGATAACAATCTCTTCTGGAGTTTTGACTATGGCTTCGTTCACTTCATCGCCCTGAATTCTGAATATTACGCTGAGAATCATAAGAAGGAAGCGAATGCTCAATATAAATGGCTCGAGCAGGATCTTGCTAAAAACAAACAAAAATGGACGATTGTAATGTTCCATCGGCCGTGGTACTGCTCTACGCATTCCGCTAGTGGATGTAATGATTATTCGGATATGTTGTCTAGAAAAGGAAATAGTGAAATGCCGGGATTGGAGAAATTGTTGCATGATCATAATGTGGATATGATACTGTATGGTCATAAGCACACTTATGAGAGAATGTGGCCGATTTATGATGGAGTTGGATACAAATCTGGGGATTCTGGACATATTAAAAATGCAAAAGCTCCGGTTTATATTTTGACTGGAAGTGCGGTGAGTGCCTTCTATTAGAGGTTTCACGTTAGTTCATTTTTCATTTTTCAGGGCTGCCATACCCACGAGGGTCCATCCGATACCACACCACAATCATTCTCCGCGGATCGTCTTGGCCAATATGGGTACACTCGTCTGAAAGTGTATAACTCTTCTATGATTAGCACATATTTTGTTGATACCTCCGACAAAGTCGGCAATTTTATGGATAGGTTTTATTTGGAAAAAGATTGAACTGATTTTTCTGGAATGGTTGGCATAATAAAAAGTTTTATCTTCAGTGTTGAAACATTTGAAAGAATCAAAGTTAACACAATTTTTTGGAGTAAATTCGAACTTCTCTAACAATGGAGTTACTTGAGGGGGCGGATTTAACTTTTTTTGAAATTTTGAGAGCAGATAGAAGAGCTTATGAGGATTCCAAATCTGTTTAAAAAATCAGCAAAATGCTCACGTCAGCTGAGTTATGACCTAGAAAAGTTTCCCTATGATAAAGCAATTTCTCGTGAAATTTTTTTCACGGAATAGTGTATTTCTTTTAAAACAATAGATTTCAATCAGCAGTGTGGTAAAGTGGTAGAATGGCAAGTTCAGAGGAGGAGGGTTGTAGGTTCGATTCTCCCGATCCCAAAAATTTTGCAAATTTTTTTTGTTCTATTTTAAGCTGCCATAACTGGCTCTGGAATAAAATTTACGCAATTTAAACATGCTTTTCGGGAGTTTTTTCGGGAGAGATTTTACAGAATAAAGACAAACATTCAATTTTTGAAGAAATTCACAAATAGGGTTCATCGAAGATTTTTCAAAAAAATTTTTTTTCAATTTTCACCAATTCAATATTGCTTCAACCGGAAAGTTTATGGAAAGTGCCAATTATCTGGGTGCAAAAGATTGTCAATGGTCAAATGCGCGTATTGTACCAAGAACATGTTTCCAGCAGTTTGTCATCGAATGCCACCGATGTGTTTAGAATCCTCAACTGTTTTTTTCAATTAAAATAAAACAAAAAAAATTGAAAAAAAATTTCGAAAAATCTTCGATGAACCCATGAGCATATTTGTGAATTTCTTCAAAAATTAAATGTCTGTTTTTATTCTGGAAAATGTCTATTCATAACCAGAAACTGCCCAAAAACATGTTTAAATTGCGTAAATTTTATTCCAGAGCCAGTTATGGCAGCTTAAAATAAAACAAAAAAAATTTGCAAAATTTTTGGATCGGGAGAATCGAACCTACAACTTTCCTCCACTGAACTTGCCATTCTACCACTTTACCACACTGCTGATTGAAATCTATTGTTTTAAAAGAAATACACTATTCCGTGAAAAAAATTTCACGAGAAATTGCTTAATCATAGGGAAACTTTTCTAGGTCATAACTCAGCTGACGTGAGCATTTTGCTGATTTTTTTAAAAAGATTTGGAATCCTCATAAGCTTTTCTATCTACTCCCAAAATTTCAAAAAAAGTTAAACCTGCCCCCTCAAGTAACTCCCTTGTAAGTTCAAGTCCCGTTTATTGCTCAAGGGAAGATGTATGATCTGGTCCTTTCTTCGTCACGACTTAACGACATCGTCATCAATAAGACAGGTGAAAGAAATAATGCTATATTTTTCCACTGTTACAACTACTATCTACTTCTTACTGAGGAAACTTTTCTGTGTGTGTGTGTGTGTGTCCGTCTCGGTCATTTACTTGAATAACTCCAAAGGGCATGGGACTCCTATAATGATGTGTGGTATGTAGCCATGGACTACCGAGCGCTTCATGTCCATGGTGTCCTGGGCCTTCTAGCTAATCGAGAACCTATAGGGTTGAGAATCGAAAATTTCAAAATTATGTTGAAACTCACTAAAACTTCACGAAATTATGCAAAGCGGTTTTTTGGTCTATCTATGTGCTGCCCACAAAAAATTGAGCTGAAAGCTTCGCAAAAGAAATTTTTTGTAACATTTTTTTCGTGATTAACTCAAATTCTGTGACCTACTGTAAATTTGGTTTTTTTCGACTGCAAAACATTCTAGAAAATTCCAGAACAATCTAGAATACTCTCGAAAGCTCTACATCATTCCAGAAAATTTCAGAACTTTCTAGAAAATTCCAGAACATTCTAGAAAATTCCAGAACATTCTAGAAAATTCCAGAACATTCTAGAAAATTCCAGAACATTCTAGAAAATTCCAGAACATTCTAGACATTTCTAGACAAACGAAAAATTCTGGAGTTGTTAAACTGGACAATAGAAGTGTGGTCCCATACAACAAGTACCTCTCCAGAAAGTTCAGAAGTCATGCAAATTTGGAAATTCGTGGGAACGTCGGAGCAGTTAAATACCTTTACAAATATCTTTACAAAGGTACATCTCGAGCTGCTATCCGCATCTACACTGATAAAAATGGAGTCGAGCACAGGACGGAGAATGAGGTCAACAGCTACTTGGATGGTCGATACGTCTGTGCTCCAGAGTCTCTTTGGCATATCTTCGACTTCCGAATGTCCGACAGAAGCGCCCCAGTTATGCAGCTCAAAGTGCATCTGAAGAATGCCCAAGAAGTCGTTTATAAAGAAGGAGAAGAAAAAGATGCAGCAGAGAGAGGACAGCTCCGAGAAACAGCACTAACAGCGTGGTTTGCAGCAAACAAAAGATGTTATGATGAGCTTGAATCGACTGGAATGATTCCAGAAGACGTTGTGGACTGCCGAGGTATTTATTATGTTGAGATGCCAGAACATTTCCAATTCACTCCAATCCTCCAAGGTATGCATCTGAAAGTCATCCCAATTGCGTGGATTGGGATCGCTGCATCTCTATTGCCTCATGGAAGAACAGTGGCTTCCTTCTTCCATCTTAACATCAAGGATGGATGTAAGACCTCCACCATCCATTTTCAATCCGTCGAAGCCAAATACCTCGCCGAACTTGATGTCGTATTTTGGGATGAAGCTCCTATGAGCCCCAAATCATCACTTGAAACAGTGGATCAGCTTTTCCGTGATGTCACCAAAATCGATAAACCATTTGGTGGAAAAGTGATCATCCTTGGAGGCGACTTCCGACAGTGCCTTCCAGTTGTGGACAGAAAAGGAAGAGATGAGCAAATTTCAAATTCCATCAAAAGATCTCATCTTTGGCCACTTTTCCAAGACTACCATTTGAAGACCAACATGCGTGCCCAAAATGCTGATGAAGAATGGAAAAGGTAAAAAATTAGATATTTAATTTATAATTTTCAATCTGATTTTTTCAGTTTCCTTCTTGGGGTTGGCGATGGTCTGAAAGGAGAAGAGGGAACTGGAGTCATGGAAGTTCCAGAAGATCTCAGATGCGATGGAGATTTGGCCGAAAAAATCTTTGGATCTTTACTTCGAAACGGGTCTAATGTTTCTGAAATCTCCAAAGTGGCCATTCTCTCTCCAACCAACCAACAAGCACTTCAAATGAATCAAAAAGTGATGGAAATGGTTCCAGGAGAGATGAAGACGTATTTCAGTGTTGATGAGGTCGGAGACAACCAAAATAGTCACTCTGATGCTGCCAACTTTCCAACAAAATTTTTGAATAAAATGACTCCATCAGGATTACCACCACACAAATTAGAGCTGAAAGTTGGTGCATTGGTCATGCTCCTCCGAAACCTTGAAGTTCGAAACGGACTGTGCAATGGTACACGATTGGTTGTTCGAGAAATGGGAGAGCGGGTTCTCAGATGCGCTTTTATTTCGGGACCAAATGAAGGTGGAGACGTTTTGATTCCAAGAATCAAACTATCATTCGATTCGGGGATTCCATTCGTGCTCCAAAGACGTCAGTTCCCAGTAAGACCTGCCTTTGCTATGACCGTCAATAAGGCTCAAGGCCAAACATTCGATCGTATCGGACTGCTTCTGGACGCTCCGATTTTTGCTCATGTTGCATTGACAAGAACAAGAACTAAGGATGGAATCAGAGTTTGGGCTCCAGAAAAAGTCATGCATAATATTGTTTACAAAAACATCCTGTAGCTCCATTTCTAGCTTAAATTTTTCAACCCATAGCCATTTTTCATAATTATCCTTTTCTAGGAATTAAACTGTTGATCTGAATTTTCCCTTTTTGATGGTTTTAGAATTGTTCTTCTAATCAATTGTTCTACTAATAAATTTTCAAAAAATAAAATAATAATTGGAACTCTTTGAATTTAAACTGAAGCCAGTGGAAATCGCGGCGTAGCCGCGAATTTTCACTGGTGTTTAACTAGATGAAAAAATATTCAAAGCTAATCAATCATGAAAAAATCCCGACTCGGTATTTCAAATGACATACCAACATTCCAATCGTTCTGCAGTTTCTCGGAACGTAGCGAGAAGTAGTTATTTTTGTGTTATCAAACAAATGATCAGTAAAGAAGAGATTCAAATGATTCGGTGATAATCATTCAGTCGAACTATCATTAGATAAACTAAATATTGACAGAAGAATAGAGTCATTTAAGATTCAAAATACAAGAATTGAACTTTGAAGAAAATTAAAAAAGGTTTTTTGTGCAATACTCGAAACATGACGATTTTTGATTTCATCATAAAACCATAAGATTATATTTAAACTGAAGTTAACTATAATAAAAAATTATACTGCAATTATTACTCAAACAATTTTGTTGACCATTTTTTAAAAGAAATTACGAATTCCAGTTTTTTCAGAGTTTCAAATAACGTTTTTCAGGTTTGCGGCTTTATATTCAGCTTTGGAAACTGTACAATTGTCTAGTTTTTGGGCGATTTCAAATCAAAAACTTGTTTCTTTTGTTGTCGAAAACATAACATTTTTTAGATTCATAATTATAATGTTTTCCGACCCTCCCTTCTCTTCCAATCCAAATTTCCCACACATTTCCGGTCGTCAAGATTCAAAAGTTCGGCCAAAAAGTGTCATTTGACTAGATTATTGTTGACCTTATCTCCCTGACAAAATCAATCCTCCTACTTAAAGTTACTCATAATTTGGTTTTGAAAAATTTTTATCAAATATGAAAAGTAATATCGAAACTTGGTCTTTCGGCGGTCGAAATGTTTACTTTCGGTATTTTTTATTTGGAATGTCAACAAATGCATTTTTTGACCATGTATTTAGGAACATACCTGGAATAACAATTTTGTTTATTATTGGAAATTTGGCTCTATGGAGATTAGAAAATCTATCGAAGACCTCCGAATAGACACAAAAAAAATCCCTGAAATCAAAATTAAAATGTGGGAACAGTACATTTCTATTGTTGAAATTTCACGAGAGAGGAATCAGAAACGAATACTGATGGATTGGAAAACAAAAAATTTTGAAGACGGAAAAAATGTATTTGGAACAGCAAAGTTTGAATTTTTAAAATATCAAGACTTGAATTTTCAGAAAATGTTGGAACTAGAAATCTGCGAACCTATGACTCATTGGAAAGTTATAAAATCGAGATTTACTCAAACTATTAAGATTTTGTGATGAAAATGTGAAAAAAAACATGCGGTTTTCAGAAAGCCGGAAATAGCTGAAAAACTAGAAATTATTTATGTTTTGTGAATGCAAAGTTTTTAATCTAGGTCTGTTTTAGACCTTCCAAAATTTTCAAAATAATTGGAAACTTGACAGCCGAGCTCCAGACTCCTGAAAATGGTAAAAATGCCCTGAAATCAACTGGAAAATATGATTTTGTATATCTTATTGGCCGGTACTGTGAATAAAAGCTAAAAATTCGGCTTATCCGAATCTATTAACAAAATGAATTACAATCTTTAGGTACTGTAGTTAGTCACATTCCCTACTAATGTTTTTTCTGACCTCCCTTGTCCCTTCTGTTTCCTTGAATTCTTCATTCATTTCTTTGAAAAACTGGGTTACTGTAGTTGGAGGAACTCAAATCACAACTTCTCCAAAAGTGTAGTCTACGCAAGTATGAATTAATCTACAAGTCACCGTTTCATTTTCCAACCCAAATACCGAAAATACCCATACCAAAAATAGAATTTCCATGAAATTTCGTCGCTTGACTCGGATTTTTCTTCTCTAAAATTTTTCGGGTTGATGCTCTATTCGAAATTTTGAAGAGGAGCGAACTTTGGAGGCAAGCAACGGGAGTGACTGATAACAAAAAAAAAATCACAAGTGACGACATTTGAAAAGTGGGCGGGGCTTAGGAAGTGGAAAAGAGGAACGGTATCGTATAAAAACAAATAGATAAGTCTAGAGAAAAATCAGAACTTTTTCAAAACTCGTATAAAAATGATTCTTCGAGTTTTTGCTATTTTTGCTACAATCTTTGTAGCTGTGAGCTCTAAAAAAGTGGAGCAAGTTCATTTGAGTTTGAGTGGAAAACAAGATGAGATGATGGTGACGTGGCTGACACAGGATCCATGTAAGTTGTTGATTAGTTAATTAGGTTGGTAATTAGTAAAGAATATTTTTCACATTTTGTGTTTACGAGCTACCGTATTTTGAGCTCAATTATCTTAGTACCTTCGAAAGATATCAAAAATTTTCTACTGATAAAATGTTTATTATAATATCACCAACACTTTATCAGTTGAAAGATTTTTCATATCTCACATAGGAACCAAGATAATTAAGCTTGAAGTTCACGTATACGATGTTAGGGAAAATACTGTAATTGAGTAAAATTCAGAGAGAAAACTAATTTTTCAGTTTCACTTGGTTCTTATATTGTTGCCCTTATTTGTCCATACAATTTTTCGGTCATATCACAACAAGCCAATTACAGTACCCAATGTGACTCCCTACGTAGCATTCGGTGTCACCAAAGATGCTCTACGGCTAACTGCCAAAGGAAATTCTACAGGCTGGGCGGACCAGGGAAAGAAGAAGGTTATGAGATACACCCATCGAGCAACTATGAACAGTTTGGTGCCTGGACAAGTTTATTGTGAGTTTTCAACAAATTTCTATAGGAATTTTGAAATTTAGAGGAACCAATGCTTGCTAGGACTGAGCTAGGTTTTTTGCAAGTCCCCTGAAATTTTTGGGTTTCCTCTTTTTGAAATTTTGAGCTTTCAATTATTTTCATTAAATTCAGAATGTTCTTCTCACCCCAGTTATTCTTGTAGTCTAGCCTCAAGGGAACAATTTAGTCTTTGTTTGCAAAAATATGTGTTTTTAATTGGGTCTCTCATCAAGTCAATTTTCCTACCTCTTGGTTTTATAATCTATTAGACAAATAATATTTTTTAAGGCTAGAGTGTGAAAAGTTAAGATACAGGGCTTACAAATTATAGAAATTTTCGTTCTAGCAACAAAGTTTCCGAATTAATTTACCAAGAAATTTTCCAGACTACCAAGTCGGAAGTTCCCAAGCGATGTCCGATGTTTTCCACTTCCGGCAACCTGACCAATCCTTGCCACTTCGTGCCGCGATTTTCGGAGATTTGAGCATCTACAAAGGACAGCAATCGATTGATCAATTGATCGCAGCGAGAAAAAATAATCAATTTGATTTGATCATCCACATCGGGGACTTGGCATATGACCTACACGATAATGATGGGGACAATGGTGATGATTATATGAATGCCATTCAAGATTTTGCGGCATATGTGCCTTATATGGTAAGGGGGATGTTGGTAGTTAAAGAAAACCCAAACTGATAGAATTATCTTGAAAGTATTATACTTTTCAAAAAGGAAGAAGCTACTGGAAACGCTTTAATAGAACGCTACACGAGACATCAGCTTTGAGACCATTTATCTTTGTTCCTGTGAAAGATATCAAAATTTTGTCAACTGATAAATTGTTAATCATAATATCCGAAACATTTTACTAGTAATATCCTTTTTGATATCTTTCACAGAAACTCAGATAATTCAGCTCAAACTTGACAGTCCCTTTTATTACAACAAGTTTTATAGTAACTGTTTCAAGTTCATGTTAAACTAAACTCCCAACTTTCAATGAGAATTTATTCGGAAGTCCCATTATTCTAATTCTAGGTATTTGCTGGAAACCATGAAGTCGATAGTAACTTCAATCAAATTGTCAATCGATTCACCATGCCCAAAAATGGCGTATACGATAATAATCTCTTCTGGAGTTTTGACTATGGCTTCGTGCATTTTATCGCCCTGAACTCCGAATATTACGCTGAGGAAATGTCCAAGGAGACTCAACTTCAGTACAAATGGCTAGAAAACGATCTAGCTGGAAATTCAAAGAAGTGGACAATCGTGATGTTCCATCGACCTTGGTATTGTTCCAGCAAGAAGAAGAAGGGATGTCATGATGACCAGGATATTCTATCGAGGGACGGATTGAAGGATAAGTTCCCAGGATTGGAGGAATTGTTGAATAAGTACAAAGTGGATTTGATTCTCTATGGGCACAAACACACTTATGAGAGAATGTGGCCAATTTTCAATGCTCAGCCATTCAAATCACAGGATCCGGGGCATATCAAAAATGCGCCAGCGCCGGTCTATATATTGACGGGAGGAGCGGTGAGTAGATCAATTTCATTTTAATTTCCAATCTTTATTTTTCCAGGGTTGTCATTCCCACGAGGACCCCTCCGATCACATCATTCAAGATTTTTCTGTGAAAGCCCTTGGAGAATATGGATACACTTTTTTGACGGTCTACAATTCTACACACTTGTCCACTGATTACGTGGATACTTCTGAAACGAGCGGAGAGTTTTTGGATCCTTTTGTGCTGGAGAAGGATTGAAATTTCAATTTTTTTTTGAATAATTTACGAAATGTATTCTGCGTTGCATATTTATTTGAGCTACAGGGTTTTTTCTTGCTAATTGTATAAAACTGTATATGTATATAAATCATTTTTATTTTCCAAGTTAAATTTTCATCTTTTCCTTAAGTCCTTGCTATTCGATGGCGGACATCCTGACCAACAGACAAACTCCGTAGCTTACCGTACAACCTGTATTAGAAGAGCCGGCCCTTCTAGTACAGGGGCCCTTCAATTAGAGAGTTGTCCCTTCTATTTTTCCGGCCACTTAATTTTTCATCGTTAAATTCGACAAACTTTCGTTCAAAATTTATGGAAGTATGTATTTCACCCAAATCGAGCATTTTTCAATAATAAATAGTGTTTCAACAAAAATTTCTATTCATTCATGGAATTCCCCAAAAGTTTCTCACTAAAAAATTACAAATTTTATAATTTTCACTCAAGTTTGAGACGCATTATGGAAAAAGTGTTTCTTTACAGGGAGCCCTTTTATTACAGGAGCCTTTCTATTACAGGGACCCTTCTATCAAAGGGGCCCTTCTAATACAGGTTGTTCGGTATGCTTCATGATAAAAGCTAATAATTACATTCAAAAATTTTATTATTATTATCATTTCAATGATCATTAAACAAGTAGAAAGTTAAAAAAGGCCTCAAAGAAAGGAAGCAACCAAGTAGAAGGCAATCAAGTTGAGGATGGTTCCAATGGTGAAAAGATTGGATCCACTATTCTCGCAAAGTCCATCATCTTCTTCACCATCACATTCGGATCCTGGCTCTCCTTTCTTCATACTACCATTTCCACCCCCACACACGCAATTTGCCCCTGAGACATTCGTGTCTTTACAAGTTTTGCGAAGACATGCAACGGTTGTCTTCGCAGGAGAAAGACAACTCAAGACAGTAAGGTCTTCCAAAGTGTCAAAAAACTCCATCAAACGTTGTTCGCTTTTTTCGTTTTTGAGTTCTTCCATCTTGTCCTTCACTTTTTGTGGAGGTTCCTTACAAAGATCTGGCACCTCCAACCCATCATCATATTCCTGAATTCCACCTTTTCATGAAAAATTCATAATAGAAACATATTCTCACCACTTTGTGCATGTTACTGATTTTGAGTCCTTTTGCCAATTCGCGACGTAATTTGTTCACATTTTCCACAACTTTCTCCTCATCTATCTCATCACGCTTTTTACGGTTCAATGCAGCTGGCGCCGCGATCCGGGCTGAAATTTTTTCCATTATGTAGAGAATATTTCTCTAAAAGAGATATGTCTTCCAGAACACTTTTGGATATCCATCGATCCACGTACCACAGCAGAGGAGGATTCCAGCGACGAGAAGCACCTTCATTGGATGTTGTATCGATCGTAGACTTCGGAGGAGACAATTCGATTGATTCTGAGTTTCCTGTGGAAAATCGTGGGCTTATATGGAGCTGAAAATAGGGCAGCCTAATTTTAAAAGCAGAGCGGTCGGCTGGTGGCGAATGAGGAAACCCAAAGGCTGAGGTGAGAACAAGGTTAGGGTCACATTTCTCTAATTTCTTTTTGCAATTGAAAAACCACTGTAATTTTTTTTTAAATAAGGGGACTCCTATCAAAAATGTTCTGTTTTGTGTTAAAATGTGAAGATTAATGTGTAGATGTCTAAAATGTAAAAAATAACTTTAAAAAAACGACGCCTCCTAAAATTGCTTTCAAAAAAAACATATCATTTCTTGTCAATTTCTGAAACCTCATAGATGGCTTTTAGTTTCATTGTGAGAAACTGAAAACACCTGACAATTTTTTTTCAAGTTTTTGTTTCTGACATGAGAAAAGTTGAAGCGATTTTAAGATTTTGGCAGAACATTTCGAATTGAAAAAAAAATGTGAATTTACTTATTTTTCAAGACATTTTACAAACTGTTTTGCCGGAGCTTATCTTTGAGACAAGGTCCGGAAATGTGCAAAAAATATAAGTAAAACCCGTACTAAATTCTATGTTAAATTCTATTCAAGAAAAAGTACTACAAAATAGGACATCCCCTGTGGATATTTCTTTGTAATTATCATTTGCTATCCATAGTGCTTTCTTTACGATAACAACTAATGATTACATTCAAAAAATGTACAGTGCTCCACAAAATGATGAAACACCTAGTTAGGTCAATGTTCGTGAAAAGGTGTCAACATGAAAAAAAAAGAAAAAAAAATATTTCAAAAAACAAAATGATGCTTCCACTCTGAAAAAGTGAGATTTTGGAGGTTTTTGAGCTCTGCGGCTTCCGGAGTATTCAATTTCGGGATTATTCTGAACTTGATTCTTTTCTACTTGGTTGCTTACTTGTTCTGATTTTTTTAGTTAAGTAATAAAAACTTTTAATGTTTGAGGAGTATAAATATTGAAAAAAAGTGATGGAAAAGATAATAAATTAGTAATAATGAAAATTACACTTCTTGACAAATGGTTCTTGACAAAAAATCTAAACTTTCAAAAACTGATTATTGGTTTTGTTGGCTTCCTCAATTTCGAACTTGATCTGGCTATGAGATATACAACTGGAACGAGAGGATTGGCGACGCATTTGGTCCTTTTCTCCGGTTAGCCAGAATGTGAGACATGTTCCTTTGCCCTAAAAAAAGGAAACGCTTTTGGTGGTTTTTTCAACATACTAATATTTAAAAAAACACTTCAAAAAATATTCTTGCCTATACAGAAACGGGTAAAAAATCAAGCTGTTCAGAGCTCACCTTCACATCAATCATTCCTCGTTCTTCAATTATAAACGATGGGAACTTCTCCATCATGGTATTGGCAGTCAGTTCACTCAGCTGAATAGTTCCAGGTAGTCCAGTACTCGCCATTCGACATGCCATATTTACAGTATCTCCGAATATACAGAATCTGAAATTTTGTTGTTTTTCGATTTTACGACATTTATGTAGCGTTTCTGAGCTCACTGGATATTATTGAGAATTTTGTAAGCTAAATTCTTACATATTCCAGTTATAATTCTAACATTCGTTTTGGTAAATCTTGCCAGAAATTTCATTGTTCTACCGTAACCTTTTCTTAAAAGCTTGCTGAACTAGATTTTTAAAACAAAGTCAAACTAAAAGCTTCTACTCCATGTCATTAATTTAAAGGTGGGGGGACAGGAGATTTTTCGTAGTTTTTTTGTAGCTAGGGTATGCATTCTACCGTCACGGTGTACAACGCTTAATGTCACTCTGCGTACAGCTGTCGTCCTCGCCTTTATGTATGCAATCGGGCGTGCGCTTTCTCTTTGCCCGCGTGGCTCAGTCGGTAGCGGCGCCGCACCCTCAATCCTCACCCCCACAAGTTCAACTCCTCGAGGGGCATATTTGAAAGGAATTTCGAGAACATTATTTTTTTTTCATGTCCGTCCACCTTTAAGGAATTTCAAGAAACTTAAAAACTTTACCTTGGCGCAATACTTCCCAGAATACCAGCCGCCACTGCACCACTAGTGATTCCCATTTTGATTTGTAGAATATGAGATGGTCGATGACGGACAGTGAACGTTTTCATGAACTGAAACGTTCGAATTAGTAAAATATGAGTACCGTAAAACCTGTAATAGAAGGGCACCCACATTGTCAAGTTTGAGCTCGATTATCTCTGCTCCTATGAAAGATAAAAGTGTATATACTGGTAAATTGTTTATTGTTATATCAGGAGTGTTTTATCAGTTGTCACATTTTTGATATCTTGGATAGGAATGGTGATAAATTGTCTTGAAGTTGAAAATTAGGAGCCTTTCTATTACAGGTTTTACGGTAACTAGAAGAACATTAGACTTCTGAAAGTATGCAGTAGTCAATTTTTTTCAAATTTTCGTACGATTTAGGGTCTATGATTTTTGAAAACTAATTTTAGAAAATCACTGTTTCAAGATTATGATAAACCAATGTTATTATTTTTGGTACTAATATTAGGTTCTCATCCGCTTTTCATAAAAACTCCTTACCTCCTGCAATTTCAGCGAAATCTTCGAGACTTCTCTCAGATGACGACAAGCTGTCATTTCTGGAATTCCACTGCATATCAAGTATGCATCTCCAACATTTTCAACTTTGAATGCTTTATTTTTTTGAACGATGTAGTCGAATGAGGAGTAGAGCTCTTGCAGGGTTTCGAGGATCTACAAGAAGATTTTTTTGTCTGGAAAATAATTCAAAAACTTTCTGTTTCATTATCTCTAGATTCACTGAAATTTTTGAACGATTTTTAATTCACGAACCTCTCTTGCTATGAAAATTAACTTACATGAACTGGAATGAAAGCTTCACAAAATTTGGTGAATTGGCAGACGTCTACCACCAATAGGGACACAGACGAATGTTGCTCAGGGACCACCGATTTTCCAGATCGAATCGAATCAGCGATGCTTCTGAAAAGACCTATTGAGATTTACTATCAATATTATTGAGATTTACTATCAATATTTAGAAATATTGAGATTTACTATCAATATTTAGAAAAAAAGCCCATTGAACTTTAATCAACCCTGCCCATCCTATGCTCTAACTTTGAGTCTATTTAGAACTTTAAAAAAAATAGTATGACCTATTTATTTTCAATAACTTGAAAAATTCTAGATCGAAAGTTTCAATTTGAAACTGTCATTTTGAATCGGCCCTTATCTTGCCTTCACTACGCCTTCACGTTGCCTTTACTTTGCCTTAACCATATCCTGCAGGAGCCATCAAGTGTAGTGCTCTAATGTTGTCCTTAATATGCTCTAACCGGGACCTAATCTTGCCCAACCAATGCCCCCTAACGTTGCTTTTGAAGTTCCACTACTTGCCCACGATTGTCCAAAGAAACTGGCCAGAAAACGCGCCTCAGCAAATCTCGAAAAAGAATTCGCTGCCGAACTTTGTTGACTGAGTATCAAACGTACAACGAAGAGCGAAAAAGTGCGTGTTGTGTTCGTTGAAAATATATAGATCAAATCTCCACTTTGAAGTCATTAAATTTCTACTGGCCTAAAAGTTATCTGGAGCGCGATTTTTGACCAGTTGCTTTGGAACGCTGTGCTTGCCCTTACGGAGACTTTAAGATATATTATTTTTAAAATTTTTTTGAAAATCCTTACTCAAAGAATTACTTTCAAAATAACTTTCACTCACTTTGGCAATAGCTGATACAGTAAATTCTCTGTTGTTGCCATGTCTTGCTCCAGTTCTCTTGTTCTTTCAGCTACAATATGTTCCAAATTTGCACTATACTCATCGATCATTTCAATCATTTGATCGATTAGTGTTCCTTTGACACTAAAAACTGATTTTTATAATAAATCTGTAATTTTTCTGTAAAATATACTCACTCCTGTCCAAATTCTCTGTTCACTGCATCGGTAATTTTGATCAAAGTTGGTCTGGCCGCTGGTTTATACAACCAACACTGTTGAATAATTGACAAGAGTCTCATTGTGAAACTGTTTCCTTCGGGAACTTTCGGATGAAGTGGAGCCGTTGATTGGTTGGAGAGGAGGGTGGCTAGTTCTAAAAAAAATAGTTTTTTTACGGCTGAAGATTCGGAGGGAAGTTTGAATCATTCAATTAACAGAATTTTTGAAAACATTTTATAACAATGTGGAAAAAAAAACTAATTTTGAAGAAATTAATTCCTGTTTCGAATTCAGCATTTCATCACACCTCTCCATTTTAGAGTAGTAGTACCTCTCTATTGAATTACCTTTAATATCTTCTTGTCTTTCTGCAAATGGTTTCATGTAGAACAAAATCTGGTATATGACCATTGCTAACTGATAAATGTCTCCTTCTACAGTACCCATCGGCTCCTCGTGTTTCTCTAGAAGGCTGGATAAGTGCTCTGGTGCTAGTTGGAGGTATTCTGGAAAAAAAACTGATGACTTAAAAATCAGAAATCGCATTCTTTCAGGATCAGAAGTTATGTTGAAGTTTGGTATCATTCAAAAACCTTAAAAATGATCCTTGACTCGTTCTCAATGACCTAATTTTAGAAAATTTTGATATTTAAATGACTTACTGTAATGAATGGCGTCTATATCAAACGACGAGTTCGGTGCCAGTTCCTTATGGTGCATTCTTTCTTTCAAAATATTCTTTATCCCGAAATCCGTCAATTTTACAACCCAATACGAATCCACAACACAATTTGATAGGTATAAAGTGCCATGCACCTTGATTGAACTGTTATGAATGAAGTTTATTCCCTGAAACAAGAAAAATAAAATTGAAGCTTATAAAATTATCAAAACTCACATGCATGATATGCTTGATAAAAGTGGATTGAAAGTTTCTTCCAAACTTTTGTTCTTTTCCAAAAATTAGGTCCTCCAAAGAGTATCTGGCTGTGAATTGCCACATCACGATCAATTCGGATCCTTGATTGAAGCAAATTCCAGTGAAAGGGTTGATATTCGTGTGAGACATGTATTTTAGCTGGAAATTATTATAACTTTTTGGGGTTAGATATAGTTTAAGTTGGAAATTATTTTGCTACTTCTAGATATTTTCGGTTTCAAAACTATTTCTTTGAAACTATTGAAACGAAAACCTCGTTCGGTTCCTCGGATGGTCATATAATGGATAAGAAACTTTATCAAAAATGTTGAATGGAGACAGTGATTTTTTTTTTCAATTTTGTCGAGTTGCTGAAATGGTGAAATTTCTAAAAAAACTGACTCCAAAAGACTTGATCATTTTTAACCACCTCACCTGATTCAACATTTCCATTTCTTGCCTAGTGAAAGTTATGGGTCTCCGTTGAACGTATCGTTTTATGGATACCTGAAAACTAATCGAGTTTGTTGGTTGCAATTTTTAGGTATTGTGAATATTATAGTTGTATGAAAACAAGACTCGAAAAACATTTTTAAAACTTTTCAAAAACTTTTCACGAAAATCTGAAACTGTAATTTTTCGCGAAAATCCGAAATAGGAATTTTCAAACTCTTCAAGAATATAATACCGTAAAAACCTGTATTAACAGGGCTCCTTTAATAGAAGAGCACCTCTAATAAAAGGGCCCTCCGAAGGCGCTTGGAAATATAGAAGGGTTCCCTGTAATAGAAAGGCCCCCGTATTAGAAAGGCCCTCTGTGAAAAAGAACCCCACCCCCTTCGAAATGTGTTTGGAAATCAGAAAATTTCCGTGTTTTTTCAGAAAACATTCCGGGAATTGCACAATTTGATTGTAATTCGTTGAAACCCTAATTTTTCTATGAAAGTCTTTCTAAATTTTGGTGAAATTAGGAGATTTTCATGAATTTTGAAAGAAATAATAATACTTAAAAAAACATTTTTAGAAATTTTCAAAAACTTATCATGAAAATCCGAAACTGTAATTTTTCGCAAAAATCCGAAATATGAGTTTTCAGACTCTTCCAGATTGATGATATTTACGTTTTTCAATATTTCTAGCTAATTATTCAATTGAATCTCAAACAATATATACTCACCTTTTGCTTATTTACATGAGCATGTTCCGAAACATTGGCTGAAAAAATCGAAGAATACGATGCCCGTGCTGTCGAGACAGTCGACACTCTTCTAGAAACCGATAGCAACCTTCCATTTCTAGAATCATCAAAATTAATAGTATCCAATGGAACCCTCCAAGGCATTTGTTGAATTAAATGCTCCTTTCTTTGTAGATAAAATGCAATGGCCATTGGGATGAGTAGTATGGAGAATACGATTGCAGCAATCATGAAAACGTGAAAGTCACTGCACAAATTGTTATCGTATCCACAATCGGAGGAGTACGGTGGTAGGTCGTCTAGAAGTTGACCGAATGGAATGGTTCTGGTGATTTCCTGGAATTGTTCGAGTTTTTTGCATTAATTATAATTTAGTCAAACTGGTTGAATAATTAGCTACAGTACCGTTCAGTTAAGTGTACAAACACATACATATTTTTCAGTAAATTTTCCGCCATTTTCAGAAGTCTGGAGCTCGGATGTCAAGTTCCCGATCATTTTGAGAAATTGGGACTGTGTAAAACAGAACAGAAACAGAAACAGACCTAGATTGAAAACTTTGCGTTCACAGAATTTTTGAAAATTTCTAGTTTTCCAGCTGTTTGCCGAGTTCTGAAAGTCACTTGTTTTTCCATTTTTCAGCACAAAAAAGCGCCAAAACGAGGTGTCTTCCAGAATCGACAAATAGCTGAAAAACTAAGAATTTTCAAAATATTATGTTAATGGAAAACTTTCAATCTAGGTCTGTTTCACACACTTCTGAACTTTTAAAGTGATCCGAAACTCGACAGACGAGCTCTAGATCCTTGAAGATGGTCAAAGTGACCGATAATACACTGAAAAATACGTTTTTTTATATCTTAGCGACAGTTACTGTATATGATCATTCAGTAAGTGAGAAATGTTCTAAAACTTGTGAAAATTTATTTATTTTCTCCATGTTTTGAATGCTATGCAATTATTCCCATATCCATGCAAAACAGATTTACAGTCATTATCATTTACGAAATCAACATACATTTCAACAAAAAACTTAGTTCTAGCTTTCTCCTTCTCAAAAACTTGAAACAGAGGTTGTTCAAAAAACTCACATAACAATTCTTGCTCTCATTGCTCATCTTCTCCTTCTCACAAAACTCGGACTCTCTGGGTCTTACACTTGCCACGTGTTGTGTCTTCCCATCTCTCCACATGAACATCTCGTAGTACGGTAGTCGTACTCCATCACTTCCAATAAACATTGGTCCCGAGTATCCATGAATTTCAGTATTCGTCACATGCTCCCAAAGTGTTGGCTGCTGTTGCACAATCGTCAAATTGTCACTTAGCGGTTTGTAGTCACTGAGAAGCTGGAGACCATCACATAAGATTAGGGCTTTGTACAGGGTGTGGGATGGCTGGAAGCAGAGGGTTTGGGGAAGGGAAAGACAAAAAAAATTACTATCATCCCATGCTTGGTTGCAAACTCCTCCATATTCCCCTTATCATCGTGTGAATTCCTGAGAAGTGCCACATGACGATGTAACTTTCGAAGACGTGCTGCAGAGATAGGATTCGTCTCCTCTGATGCCTTCTGGTCTAGATGAGTGTAGAATTCGGTGGTTTCACTTCTAAAAAGTTATAGATTTCAGTTAAACAAAAATCAAAACAGTGTAGCAATAAATTGAAGACGATTATATCTGTAAAACTTACTTATAACAATCCACATGGATAATAGAGAACTCCAATGGGCGGAATGCTTTATCTTTCAAAGTTTTGACAAATCTGGAGAGGTCCGAAGTGGAGAGGAAGGAGATGAGAACTGAAAAAAAACAAGAAATAGGAATTATAGTAGTATACCAAATAGAGCAAGCAGCAGTAAAGATATATGGTGTAGTTGAAACCGATAAGTTATAATAGTAATTGAGTTTTTTTTTTCAGTTCAAAGGTTTTTGTGGATGCACCAAAATGGTAGGACAGTGTCAGACAACGGCAATAACTGCAATATAGATCCGAATCGTTTGCTGCGTCTCGTCCTAGGACCATACTCTCTCGCTCCACATTTTTTTCCAATCTAACAATTGCGATGTCGCCACTCAATAGAGCGCACTTGTGTACTACCCGCCTCATCTCACGTGAGAGGTTTATTACCGAAAAGACTAATTTAAGGCCACCCTATACTTTCATTATTTACTCAATTTTCTCAATTTCTTTGATTGGTAGCAAACATATGTCAATTAACAAAATGTTTGTTAGTATATTTACAAAATTGTATCTGTTAACACATTTTTGATATCTTGCATAACAGCCAAGAAAAACTAGCTCAAAGTTGGCAGGGTGGGAGCCCTTCTATTACATGTTCTATGGCATTTCGTAGTTTCCATGTGTTCCGTTGCCCTGGAGATCCTTCTCCCGTACCTCTAGCGCTATGTAAAATCGTGTACGTGTTCATAGTTCCATCGGTCTGCAAGAAGACATTAATCTTGATGTCCTCCTCTTCCTTCTCAGCCAACATGTCGTAGATCGCGTGCGCCGTGTACTTGGTCTCGTCGGAATAAATTAAGCCAATCTGAAAGACATCTTGTTAAGAGAAATGCTAGGTGCAGATATGATAATCGTAATATGGAGACTATAAAATTGTATTTAAAAATTGTTTAATCTGCAGAAATTAACTTATTTTTATTAGTCATGTATGAAGTTAAAACACCACAATTAAACAGTATTAAAAAATACCTCTTTCCATTTCATCGATTTGCAAACAGCCAAAATGACTTCTGCCGTTCCAGCCAAGCTATGTGGTTTTAATGCAATAGTTGTGCCCTCTCTGAAAAATTGATTTTGAGCTTAGTTCATTTTTCCTGCGAAAATCTCAATTCATGGATTCCACTGTTTTATGGGTTACCTATGATTAGAGCGAAATTAATATTTTTGCTACTATTGGTCATCGCATGAGAATTACAAAATCCAGAAATTTGCAGAATCCAGACTCCAAAAAACACTCACTTCTCCTTGGTGCTCAGTGGAGCCGATGATAAGTACAGTTTGTGCCATCTCAATGCCAATCTGGAAACTGTCTGCGTCTCTTCATCACATGCTGCTCCGATGAGTAAGTCCACTGCGTATTGGTAATTTAAATTTGCCGCGTTTTCCAATCCATTGAAATTGTGACAGGATGGAAGGGAGATCAAGCTGGAAAACAGTAGTTAATAGGTAGTTTTTTGCAATTTGAGAAATATTTTCAAAATTTTAAAACATGAAAATACTGAATAAAATTTGATTAGAAAAACATTGTCAGGAAACTCTAATATTGAATCGAAGAGGGAAAATTAGGTTATTGAAGATATGTGTTTTGAATGGGTAAATTTTAACAGTTATAATAATTCGAACAGTTCTGAATTGGAATAAGATTTTTTGTCTGGAGATTACCTAGTTTAAAGGAGGGCAGACAGCAAAAATTTCGGGGAAAATTTGAGGGAATGTGTATTTTGCCGTCGCGGTGTTAGCACCTAAAGCGCGCAATCCCACGCGCAAACATTTTTATTTTTTTATTTCCCGACTTAATTTTTTTCAATTTTTAACGACTTCAAACATTAAAAAAGCTCTTTTTTCTTATTTATTATAAAACCCATATAAAAGTGAATTTTTTTATGTAAATTTAAAGTTCTATCGACCGATTATTTTTCCAGTCGCCGGTGTTTTTTATAGGCATGCGAAAAAAAACTATTTTCTCTTCGATAACCGTTTCTTCACTGTTCCTATTTATCTCATTACTTCTCGTTATTACTCTAGGAATAAAAAACTGTTTTATGACTGGGGTTTCAGAGACGTCTCCATTTTTACTGCTTCCTTCACCTTCCGACGACCAGCCCTGCACGAGGATTGTTTTAATTATGTGGTTTTTCTTTCAATTATTATGTCTCTTTCTAAAAATTAATTGTAGTTTTTTTCATATTTTATTTGTTAACATAATAAAACAAGTTTCTTCATTTTCAACTGATTTTGGTACTTCGGAGCGAGGCCTCGGCGGCACGCTGGTAGCCCTTCAGAAATTCCGAGTTCAAAAAGTTCAATCCGAAGGAAACAAGGGAAGAAAAAAGTAAAAACACCAGCAGGGATTGAACCTCTGACCTCCTGAATACTAGCCTAGAGCGTACCCACTACACTACGCGTGTAAGAGGCGACCATCGCGTTTTTCACATTATGAAGCGACGTCGCAGCAGCAAGCTAGTGAAGAAATTAGGGTGACAAAAAAGAGCTTTTTTCGTCCTTGAATTGTTTTTTTCAGGTTTTTAAGTACATAGCTATATTTATACTTCAGAGTTATATCTTTTGAGTAAAAATGAAAATTTTGAAAATTTTGATGTCTACCCTCCTTTAAGAAACATTAAATATTTCAATTTCCCAAGACCTTTTTGAGAACATCAGCCTGTTTGCCGCGCCTCTGATGCTTCAAACAGTTGGCTGGTGCGCCTTCGGCGCGATTTAACCTATTTATTTTACTGTTCATCGCTTCGCTTCCCTCTGTTTTTTTAAAGGGTCACATCAAGCTTTTCAAAAATGTGCGGACAGACTGACAGAGAGATAGATAGAGATACGCAACTTCATTTATTTATTATAAGAATAATGATAAGAATGATAGTGAAAATCCCAAAAACTGAAACAGTCTCTTCTATAACTTTGAATGCTCAAAATGATCAAACTGAGCTCAAAAATGCATTTTAACTTTCCAAAAAATCCTAGAACTTACGTATGTTGTTTCCTGGTTCCCGCAGTCTTCATACAAATCTCGAGAATCTTCGTCTCATTCGAATTCTCATATTCCAAATGCCCGATTCGAAAACATTGGAATTGTTGAAAGAAAAATAGAGAAAATAGAAAAGGCACCTGCCACATTTTCTTCTCTTCTCCATCTGAATATGTTTTTGCTTTTCCGAATGTCTTCCCTACTAGGTTTGAATATTCTATTTTTTGTTACGCCTTCGTTTTATCATCTTTCTTTCTCGATTTTTTATTCATGAATTGGCTGAGAAGGGGATCTTGCGACTAGTGATATCTAGATTGCTCCAAGTGATCGTGACTTTTTTCAAGAAAACTTGGTTTTGCGGGCAGAAGGGCGAATTAGAAATTCTACTAGAAAAGTACTAGTATGTAGTACGTGGAATCTATTAGTCTAGGTGCTTCCGGAATCATATGATTTACGGAAAAAAATTGTTTGGGAATTTTTTTAAAACAAGGAAACCGGAGAAAAATAGAAAATGTTTCCGACAATATGTGAACACACAGTCAAATTTCAATACAATTTATTATATATATTTTTAAAGCAACAAACATACAATGATTATAAAACGGACCAACTGAAAGGCTCTTTTTAGAGTACCGTGCACAAACCCAAGACTTCGCCAATGACAAAAAACCGATGAGGACAGGCAGAATTGATGGAAACGAGTGGACCGAACGCCAGGCAAAGAATATTTCGGGAACGATTTGGAAGTAATCCATCTGAATTGATCCAAAATTTAGCCCGATGGCGGATTCTCGGAATGGAAGAACTTGTCCCCCATCAGAAACGGGTCGGGTGTGCTCCAAATTTCCATGTGAATTTCCAAAGGGTGACTACTCATACTTTGTGTGTTTTTGAACCAGAGTGAGCACTTTTTATATAACACGAAGACGAAATTTTTGATTCCAGAGTTACTGGAAGCTCGTTTCCGGTTCCTAAAGGAGATCCCGGATCAAAATGTACTCAAGGATATATCAATCAAGATGGACTGTGCGCTCTTCCAGCTCCAGAAAACCCTGTCAAATTAGCTCTTGAAAGCCCAGCGAAATTGGTTGCTGCCACTGAAGAAACGATTTCCGACGGTGTCAACTTCAATACGCCTATTTATTTGATTTCTATGATAACTTTGGTTAATTGGGATTTGTGATTAAAAGTAATTATAATAAATTTTTAAAATCGTAGTTTTGAAAATCTTGATGGAAGTTACTGTTACAACATATTATTATTATTTGCGGATAAAAGCAGAAGTAGTTTGTTTATTTACAATCAGTTAAAATATAAGTTCAAGAGCCATCATCAAACCAAAACCCGACCATCACCAGGAAATTAGCACATGTCATCAATTCCAGTATAATTGCGCTGGTGTATTCTAGTGGAGGGCCCAGGAAGATTTCCAGTTGGGTTCTGAAAATATTTCGGTTACAACAGGTTTTTAAAATTTGGATTATTGTCATTGTTCAGTTTAACTCGGAATACAGGTTTTAAAGGATATACAACCGTCCTAGATTGAAAAATTGCATTAACAGAATTTGTTGAAAATTTCTAATTTTTCAGCTACTTGCCGATTTTTAAAAGATGCCTGCATTTTCGCGTTTTCATAACATATAACGGTATAACAACGGGATCAATGAATACAGAAAATATCGGAAAAACTAGGAATTTTCAAAAAATTCTGCAAATGCCAAATTTTTAATCTAGGTCTGTTTTACACCCGCCAACATTTTCAAAGTGTTGGGACACGTGACAGCTGAGCTCTAGACTCCTGAAAATGATCAAAAATCATCTGAAAAATACGGTTTTGTAGATATCTTGGAATTTTTAAAAATTTCCACTATTTTCAATAGCCAAAATAATTATTCAGTTTCACAATTAGGTTTTTTTTCAAAAATTGAGAACTCTTAATTTGAACAAAGCCTGAAAATTTTCAAGTATTGATTTTGTAATTCTCACCTCAACGCACTCCTCTTCATCTTCAGCTTTGGTGTCGCCCATCTTCTCAATTCCGTGATTGCTGTCACAATTGCAATGGCAATTAGCATAATTACCAAATTAATGATAATGTAAATTCCCAATAATGGAATATTACCAGTTCTTGGAATCTTATCAGCCATCACTCCCAGGATGAAAGTCATTGTCATTATGTTAGTGAGCCCGACGTTGAGCTGAAAGTTTCGAAAATTTTCTCTCAACTAAATAAGAAAATGATATTAAATCAGTTTGAAATCTAAAAATTTACCAGTATTATTAAATACTTATTTTAAAAATTTTTAAGAAAATTCTAAAACTGCAAAAAAAAATCAATTCTCACCCTCGACATTTTATCGGCTCCATTCAAGAAAACACCCACAATCGAAACAAAATTTATGACAAAAGATGGAAAAACGATCATATAAATGTAATAGAGGGGGTTTCTGCGAATTGTGATTTCAAAAATTGCCTAAAAATTGAAAGTTTCACTTTATGAGGAAATGATTCCTACCAAATCCATATTCCCCATGTTGTCGTTGTACTTCAAGACTTCTACTCGATTCGTAAGATTTATAAGTTTCCATTCGGAATTTCCCTGAAAAATTGGATTCCACAAAAAAACGTAATTATGAAATTTAGAAACTTTTAAATTTTGAAATCATAGTAAAACAGAAAAATTGAAAAATTATATTTCAAAAAATCCACAATGGTTCGAAAACCGAAAACTTTCAAATTAGTCTATTTCTGAAGTAGTGTAGAAACTTACCGAAACAAAAACTTCAAAATATCAGACTTTAGAAAATATTTTGTGTTTCGTATAATTCATAAATGTTTCTAGAAAATTTCAATACCACTTTGTCGTTGATATGTAGACTTATTCCAGACTTTTTGGCCTCTGAAAACACCAAACTCACCATAGTCTTGAAAATGTTTTCATCCATAATTCCCTCATAAATCTCATTCAAAATTTCCACCTGCACTCGATAAAAAATTGGCAAACAGAATCGAATCTGACACGTTTGTGTGTCAAATGGGAATCTGGAGACATCCATCTGACAATTTGCCGATATTCTGACGGAAATGTAGTCCCAGAGAAATCCGAAATTGTCTATAGCCACCATTCGATTGTCCTGGTCCCGGAAGTCCATGATATCGTTTCTGGAAATTCAGAATGTATTGAAATTCAATTTTTGAATTTTTAGCGAGGAATTCTGGAATAGCCATCTAGTCATGACTGTGTAGCTCAAACAGCAAATTCAACTTTTCAAGAGAGCCCACCCAACCCGTCAACATTAAGCTCAATTATCTCGATCACCAATATTTCAACAGTTGATGAATTTTTGATTCTTTTCCAGGAATCAGAGATAATTGAGCTAAAAGTTGACGGTTTGGGTGGGCTTCTATTATAGGAAGTACGGTACTTTAACCAGGATTTCCCAAAACTTCAATGATAAACTCACACTCCAAAAACGGTCAATGTTGGGCTCCATACGTTATCTTGTCTGGCATAAAAGCTGGTGGTGTTTTGATACAAAGATGTGTTCCAGGATAGACGAGCATCGTACCAGTACTGAAAGTTTCTTAATTTTATAAAATACAAATTCATTCATCCTAGTTTCTTATAATGACGCTCACAATCAGCCAAGCTTCATACACAGTCATGGAAACAGTAAACTTAAACTCACCTCCATCAACTCCATCACCACGGACACTTTTTCTTCCGGTTCTTGAACTTCTACTAATTTCAAATAATACAAAAATACAGTATAATTCCATCTTTTAGGAGCTTGAGAATCGTATCCAATAGGTTGGTCGACATCTACTGGAACATGTAGAAAAGGTTCAAAAAGTGGGTATAAAACTCAGGATAACCCACTCCAAGTGTACACTGGGGATATAGTAGGATCGTAGTCAGTGAATAAGTTCTTGGTTAGATTTGATTGCACTTCCAGAAATTCTTTGTATTGGGGAACTGAAAGTTGTTTGGATTTTGTGGGACCAGTAGTCGTACCGTACACTTTGAGCTCAATTATCTCAATTCCTGTCAAAGACTTCAAGATTTTGTTAACTGATAAATTGCTTCTCATAACATCGTCATGCTTTTATCAGTTCACAAATTGCCGATATCTGCCACAGGAATTTAGATTATTGAGCTTCAGGTTGACGGTATAGGTGACCTTCTATTACCACTTACCGTAATACACTGGATCATAATAAAATGGATTCACTCCTTGTGGTAATGTAGTCAAGGTTCGATCGATAATAATTCCCACATTGCGTTTCTAGCTAGTTGTGACACAGAAAATGTTATGAAACGCGAAAAAAGTTTGATCAAGGCCAGGTGTCTAATCGAATAAACTACAAGATACTAGAAACTCTGCCTCCGCCCACTTTTTTGTTACATACCTTCTATCTTTAATAAGTCAAAACACAAAAAGCATGTGTACGCGTAAAATTGCAGGTGAAACCCAAAACTTGAACCCATGGAGCTAAAATGTGTTTTTTTATGGGTCCAAAAATCAGCCCAATTTTAGCTCTCAACCCACTCGTTATGGAATTTTTAAAAGGTTGAAAAAATTTATGTGACCTGGAAATTCTGTTAGTGAAAGTGTTGAGTTCGCAAATTTACTTACAAATGGGAAATATTGGTTGGTGGAGCTAAGAAAAATGTATTGGTTCAGTAAAAACGATAACGGAAAAACGATTCCCATTCGTTACAAAAATTGCTGAAAAATCGAAATGTTCAAAAGGAAATAGACATTGAAAAGTTATAGGCAAAAAAATAATATTTTCAGTACAAAATTTCAATGTTTCTTTAAATTTTTGTACTGTTTCAATAAATCCATTTTGCATCTTTACCATTCCTTATCTCATTATTGAAAGATAACTCACAATCAGTAATAAAACATAACAGCAACACACATCCCAGAAAATATGCCCACACAAAATACAAACGAAATTTAATCCATGTTACACTTTTGAATGTCACAAAAGAGCTAAAAATACTCAAAATATAGGAAGGAACGGGTCCAAAAATCTCTAGATATCAGGTTGCAGTTTTAGAGGTCAAAAAGTGAGAAGGGGAAAGTTTCAGAATACCGCGATAGTACAAGAGTCCTCTAACTTTCGATTTTGATTGCATTTACCCCGGTTCCTGTCAAAAAAAAAATAGAGTTTCACCAAATTTCTATTAAATTGTGGAGTTCCCGGAACTTTTTTCACTGAAAACGTACGGAATTGTTTTGATTTCTAGACGCATTTCGGAGGGGTCTTTATTTACAGGGGGCTCTTCTATTAGAGGGGCCCTGCTATTACAGAGGGCCCTCCTATTAGAGAGGCCCTTCAATTAAAGAGGCCCTTTTAATATAGATTTTACGGTATTATATGACTGTATTCATACTGTATAGCATTTTTTTAAACTTTCTAAACAATACTCTTTTAACAGTAAATTTTTTTTCATTTCTACCAAAATTTCTGTTCACTGCTCATTTTCTAGAACCCAGACTGCCATTTCCATTTGACATATTTTCTTACCTACTTGTCAAGTGTGATGCATATTAAGAAAACCTGCTCATTTTATTCCCAAGTTACTGAAATACATAACCAGTTTTTTATTCTTCTTGATTTCCTTCATCACTTCTTCCCACACAAAAAAAAATCTTCTTGAACTGTGTGTGGCTCATCTAGCATTTCCCGAAAAAGTAAATCATTGTCTGTGTCTGGAAAACGTTATCAGTTTTTTTTCTAGCTACTGAGTTCTAAATTACCTTTCTTCTGCTACAAGTGAATTCCCTATTCAGCTTCTAATGAACGTTTTTCAAGTGGGTCACAATTTTCAGTTTTAAAAATTTTGAAATTCAGTTTAACTTGAAATGCGAATAATCTGCATTTTTAAGATCGTCTGCGCTATTATTTCGATAATTCTAAACTGTATTCTAACATTATTGATTCTGAAAAAGTCGCCGCCAAAACTTGGAGCCTACAAGTACTTGATGATTTATATTGCACTTTTTGAAGGGTACTATTCGATTTGGGACTTGATTACAGAACCGGTGAGTATAGCGGATTTGTATTTTTGAAACTCGCAGTAATTTTTTGAAACTTTTCTTTAATGTTGCAAATTTTTCAGAAGAAGTTTTACCGTATCTCCTATAATGAAAGCCCACCCAAGCTGTCAGCTTCAAGCTCAAATATCTCATTTCATGTGAAAGACACCAAAAATTGTCAACTGATAAATTGTTTATCATAATATCACCAGTATTCTATCAGTTGTCAAATTTTGGATATCTTTCACAGGAACCGAGGTTATTGAACTCAAAGTTGACTTTTGTGGCTGGGCTTCTATTAGAGGGAATACGTTAAAGGAGGCCAGACACCAAAAAAAAGTTTTCCTGATATTTTCATAGAGAACCCCCATGAGGGGTTGAACTCATGACAGGCAGCTTAGGGGTACAGCGCTGCTACCGGCTGAGCTACGGGGGGCGCGAAGGCGCCTGACGACCGATGGTCTACATAAGCGCGGCGCGATTTCGTCCCCCGAACTGTCCCCCGAAATTTTTGCTGTCTCGCCTCCTTTAATAATCTGAATTTCTAAGCTTTCTGAAACTGAGAAAAATAAACTTTGTTGAGCTTCCCTTATTAATTTCATTGTACGATTTTCTTAGATGTAGGTATTGTTATTCCTAGAAAATTCTCTTAGGACCTCTTCTGTTTTGTTCTAGAATTTTCTTCTGGGTACTTCATTTAAGACTGCAGAATGTGCCTCTTGACATTTATTTTTTATTTGCGATGAGATAAAAATATTAATGAGCACAAATTCTGAAACAAAGAGAACTGGTCGGATTGAACGGGGAAACGAAAATGATGTGTCGACAGGAATATTATGAAATGAAGGGGAAAATAAAATACCGTAAGACCTGTATTAGAAGGGCCCCTTTGATAGAAGAGCCCTTTTGGGAGAAAGGCCCCTCTAATAGAAGGACCCCCTATAATAGGAGTTCACTCTGTGAAGAAGGACACCCTTCAAAATGAGTTTTGAAATTAAAAAATTCTTCACTTTTTCAATGAAAAACATTCCGGAAAATCCACAATTTAATAATAATTGTGTTGAAACATTATATCTTGGTGGAAAATAACTTAATTTCGGTGAAATCGATAGATTTTCATGAGTTTTTTAACGAAAATTTGACGAACTCTTTTCGATGAAAAATTCCGGGAAAAATGGCCGGAAAAGTAGGAGGGAGGTACCTTGGAACAATTAAAGGGACCGGCCCTTCTAATACAGGTTTTAGGGTAGCTAGAAATTTCAGTTGGAAAAAATGCGTAGAACTATTGAAATCTGGAATTTTGCTGTTTCAGAATTTCCGTTAATTCCGCTGAGACTATCCTGTATCAATTGGTTGTAGGGTGAAACTTTAACCGTAATAATCTAAATTTGGTCAATATAGTTTTCAGCTTCATTTGAAGCAGTATTTTTTAAATTTCCGTTTTTTAGATCGTCCACTCCTACAAAGCCGCGTTTGTTGTCCTTCGTGACTTCAATGGATCGGTTTTTGACCGTGAAATCAGTTTCATCTTAATTTGTGTCTATTGTGGGCTTTTTGGGTTTTCACTGGCCATTTTTGGAGTACATTTCATTTACAGATATGGTGCTGTTAATAAGTGAGTAGCTTCTAAAATGTTTCGTTAAACGAAATGTTAATTTGAGAATCTATTTTGATGAAAACCTGAAACTGAAAACTTTTCATCATCACAAAAGTCTATTTTTGCTTTTTCAGAACATTTATGGACAAGTTCCTACCTGGGAATCAAGTCTACATACTGTTCCTAATCCCCATGTGGTATTTCACATGGTGGGGTGTCCTATGCTATATCTATTTTCATTTCAGCCCAAGAACAGATGCGTATATGGAGTAAGTGCATATAAAAAATGGAACCGAAAACAAAAATAGAGTACGAAAATAGTTGTTTTTCTGGTAGTTTGTAGTACTAAAACAGTATAACTTCAAAGAAATTTTCCTTTCTTCATTGAATTTTCAAAAACCTTTATAATTTTTAGAGAAACCATCGAATCCCATTTTGCTCTTTCAATCAACGATTCTTCCTACATTTGTGTGTATTATCAACCAACTGGAGAAGACGGAAAACCTCATCCAGATCCCAAGATTTTCTTTGCAATTGGTTGTATGTGGTATATGGTGGTAAGAAACAGATAGTATATTCGATATTGTTTTTTTGAATCATACAAGTACATATATGTTGAAACAGAAAATTTTAGAAAAAAAATTCCAAAATTCCAATAGTAGATAAGATATTTTAAACATAAACGCTGTGATAGTAAAAGCGACATACTAAATGAACTTTTAGATCTCCTCCTCATATTATACATGTGGAACAGAAAATTTTAGGAAAAGTATAAATATCCAAAATGTTAATAGTGAACTACTTTTAACATCAACTTTCGGATACTAAAGCTGACAAACCAAACCAAATAAATAGTTCCAGATCTCCTCAATGTTCTGCGTCTTCTACTTTGGCATCCGATGTTACAGTCAGATCAGTAACACCATTTCTCAAACATCCACAACTTCCACATCTCTCAAAAACCTCCAATCCCAACTTTTCAACGCTCTAGTAGTTCAAACTATCATCCCACTGGTCCTCATGTACATCCCAATTGGAATCCTATTCTTCTTCCCAATGGTTATTTGGGAATTACCATTTACCACCAGTTTTGTGGGCTACACGATTGCCTTGTACCCAGCTATCGATCCATTACCAAATATGATTATTATACGGTTTTATAGACAGGCTATAATTGGTGAGAAAGTTTGACTAATGGTTCCTACATGTTGAATGGGAATTTCAGATTTCTTCTTGAAAATTCTGGGACGGAAGAAAAATGCAAACCAGTTCAATTCTATCAATTTGGTGGAAGTGGCTCCGATATCTTGATTTTTCTTCGAGCTTTTTTTTCTGTTTCCATTTGTAATTAGAAATTATTCATTTTTTCCCATTATTGCTTCTCGTGACTGTAGTATTTTGGGCCTTCCCGGACTTGTTAGGCAAACCCAAGGCGAACGCAGTTAGCTATTGCTTTTGCTTTTACTAGCTTTTGAGTTTTGGGCATGTTCTGTGAAAATTTTAAGCGAAATCTTGCCAACCAGCAACCAAAAGCTGGCAGTCGCAGACGAGTTGCTCGTCTTTATCAATTCGAATACTGGAGAACGTGTGTCTTGTGATCTTTCCGTTGGGATCAGACTCTACAATTGTATACGTGCTAAATTTTCAGAAAACTCATAAACACTAATCCGTACCAGTCGAATACAATACAATTTTGTTTAATCAATGTTACAAATTTGTGTCTGCACTTTTATGAAGAACAAGACAGAAAGTTCAAGAGAATGGTGTCTAAATATAGTTAGCTAGATAAAAAGACCAGGAAGGGAATCTAGAACGGTGTGAATCTGAAAATTTTTTTCTGTTTCAATATTGTGTCAAGTGTTGGAAAGATAAATGACAAGTGTTAAGATGTGTCCTTCAAAGGGTGTTATTATTCCACCATTCAGAAATCGCTGGCTGGAACCGCGTAGCTCCGCAGGTAGCGGTTAGTGTGGTGCCTTTAATATTTTGCACAAAAGTTCAAGTCCTCGCAGGTGTTCTTGAACATTTTCCGAGAAGTTCAGAATAGGCTGAGAATAACCTAGCTAGACAGTTCCAGATATTTGGCTGAAACTGGCGATGGATTCTAAAATGTTCAGGAATATCTTGATAAACTATTCTCAACCTATACTAAAATTCTCATTCAAATCTGGATTCACAAGATTTTGTTATTAAAACCACCCATCTACTTACCGGGCCTTCGGCGCGTCAATCAGCTGGCTGGTGCGCCTTCGGCGCGATTGAATCTATTTTTTTAAACCAAAAAACATCTCTAGCGTTTAATATATAAGGAAGTAACGACTTAAGTGAGTAAATAAACGGAAAAAACCAATCTGTATTGGAATGCTATTGGAAAGGTACTTTATAAGTTACTGTTTCTGTTCATTAGTTTATGCAACATTTTTTGAAGTATTGTTGTTCACATGATAAACAATAAAATCCAGAATCCAACTTTATGTCTTATGATGTCGCTCCAGGATCAGTTCTCAATGAAAAATTGTATGGTTAATACGTGAGAAATTTCCAGTAAAATGAAAAATACTAATCTTGTAAGATACAATTCCTCAAAGTTACAAAAGTATGTCTGCACTTTTGAGAAGGTCAAGACACAATGCTTCGAGGCTC